TGGTTAAAAAAAAAAAAAAAAAAAAAACAGACCTCAAGAAGGCTCATAAAATTCCCGAGATATTTATCAAGGAAATGTGCACATGGTGAAGCTTAGCGAGGGGCAGGTTATCTTCACTGTCTGAGTATCAAATGCACCAAGCACCTTTTAGCAAGGTTTGTATTTAGTTGTGTGCAAGCACCAAATATTGGTAGGGAAATATTGGCACAAATATTCCTGTTAATATTTAGTCGTATAATATTTCTGTCGTCAACCTACAGTTTCACTCCATTTACTGGAGATTTTCGTTTAAATCAGAGGCACATAATAATAACAACAATAATAATTATAATTATCATAATGACAAACCTGGATCACATTTAGATGGTGTTGTGGTATGTTTAGAATTCGTTTTTTTCAAAGGTCTCTTTATATTTTGTATCCTGATGGGTCTTCTAGGATGACAAGCTAGGATACGAATCAACAACACCAGAATACAGAGACTAAGGATCAGAATAAAACCATAATACCTGTGGAATCAATGAACAGTTAAGAATATAAATGCCAATACTTTAAATAAAATAATAGCCTTAAAAATAATAAATAAATCTTCATCATTATTATATATAATTTGATTCAATTTTCAATAAATTTTTATTCAAAATTTGATAGGCAGCATATGTTGCATAAAATTTACATTTCAAGATTCAATAAACAATCAATATATAAATAATGATAATAATTGTATTGCAATAATAATAATGTTGCTTTACATTACTCCATTTATCATCATCATCACCTTGTGTGACTATGATTTCTCTTTTGGTGTTTGTGCTCCACATAAAACATTATCTATAATCGTAGTCACAAGTGCTCAGCATTAGCTTAATAAAATAAAATAAATAAATGAAAATTGATGATTGAAATATTATTCACAATGGAACTTACAATGATGACAACTTACCAATTAACTACACACCACTGTAATACAGAGAGAGCTCCTTGATTGGTAAAAAGTTGTTTTAACCTATTGAGGGCGCTCTCACTATCAACCATGATACACACTCCAGATGTGTCACAATAACCTGAAAGATGCCAGTAACAATAAAGTTGTATTTTATTGTGCACTGTGTATGCATTCATGAATATGAGCATCCATTTTGTTTAGGATGTATTTAAAAAATATACAGTTTTAACCCATTGAGAGTACTGTCAATCAACCATAATTATTGAGTTGTTACACAGTACATAAATAGTAACACAATATTCAAACTTGAGTATAATTTTTTTTCCCCCAGATTTACCCTCATAATTGTTGCAGACACGCCCAGCAGGCTTCAGCATTATGTCACCATTTTGTTGAAAGAGCCCAAGTGTAGAGGCTGGTAGACAACCAGTTGGATCCTGCAAATCAACAAATCCATAATAATTACGGTATAATGATCATAGCAATAACAACTATAACAACAATAATAACTAATATTATTATTAGTAGTAATATTAATAATGATAATAATAATAATCATATATAATCATTAATATTATTGATATATCATTAAAAAAAATTGTTAGATATAACAGGGGAGTCCAGTGCCCCTCAGGCCTGGGATTTATCAATCTCAGCTTAGCAGATGTCTTAAGTCAAAAAAGTTAAGATGTGCCTAAGCAAATATCCTAAGCTGATTTATCAAACAATCTTAGCAAAATCTTAAAAATCATCTTAGATGGCACATGCATCCAATCAACTTTTATTTTAAGAAATTTTTAAGCTAAGCAATATTGATACATCTAACTTAAACAAAAAAATGGAATTAAGACAAATTTAAGCTGATTTCTAATTTGATAAAAAAAAAATTGTTAGATATAACAGGGGAGTCCAGTGCCTATCAGGAGACATGATTTTTGGATGAAGTTCAACTGAAAGTGACTAGTAAATTGGGAACCTACCTCGCAACATATGTGGCACATATCTTCTTTTCTGGTTTCACAATTGCATTCCTGTAAGCCCAGGTCCATACAAACACTGACTACACACTGACCGTTACTACAACGTTTAGTTCCCTGGTCACAAGAAGATCCATTTGCCAGCATTGCTGTACTTGGACACTCGCTGCTTATGCCAGTATTTAAAATTAAAGAGACAACAAACAAGCATACAGTATGTGCAAAACAAATTTCTGATTAAAAACTAATAATAGAATATCAAAAATTTACTCGTATATGAAACTATTAAACATTGAGATTAAGTTTAAGAAATATTTCATCTATTTTATTTTATATCAATTGATCAGTTACCAATTGATAACTGATCAAATATCAATAAATTTTTTATGTCTAGCATATTTCAATATTCATTGCTCAAGAATTTAAATCATAAATCAGTTCAAATATTTAATTATATTTTTTAGTTCATCACAGATGGTATTTCTGTTAAGGAGCCATTTCAATGTTTTAAAGCATTTGAAGCAATTGTAAAAGGATATGAACACCTTGATGGTAGTTTGCATTCAGAAAAGGACTGACATATGACATTGGATTTAGCAGGTAGCACCTGACATTCATTGCTACAACATGGCGACACCAATGGGCTGTGAAATGAACACATTCATGTTTAAATTTTGGAAAATATAAATTTGGCAGATGACATTGAATGTAGCAGTAGAAACTAATATTTAATGCTACAATATGATGACACCAATAGGCTATGAAATGAGCACAACATTACTACAATCATGTTCAAATTTTGGAAAATATGATGACAATAAGATGACATTAAATGTAGCAGTAGAAACTGGTATTTAATGCTATAAACATTATGATCAGCTGTGAAATGAGCACAATGTTATGAGAATTCACTGTTAGATCATGGAGGCCAATATTATATTTCCTCTCCATGGTTAGATACTGTACTCGCGCGAATAAGCGCCCCATTTGAATAAGCGCCCTTCTCGAATAAGTGCCCCTCCTAAAGTGGAAATTTCCTTAAGCGCCCTGTTTGAATAAGCGCCCCATTCTAATTTGAATAAACGCCCCCTCAATAATCCAATCAATCCTGGGACTTTGGATGTTGGCATGATTTGAGGTGTGGAGTGGAATCACATTCTCCTGTAGTCAATATCAAAATGATGATATTTATCTTGGACAGATGAGCGCTCCCCAAACAGACAGTATATTTCCAACTTTCATCTTCTTACATTTGTCTATAGCCTAGTCCTAATCCTTTTCCGACAATTTGCACCTTTAACACATTTTCATCTAAGTTTTCAAGAAAACCTGCAATGATCATGCCGTCCTGCTATTCTCAAACGGCCGATGGCCAACAAGCTAACCACCACCACTAATTTCATCTGCTATTCTGCTGTTATGTAATAACTTACTCACAACATTCTTGTCATGACAAGCTATGCTCTCTGTACGATTATCTTTTCAGCCGCACTACCATTCGTAATTTGCGGTTTCCTGGTGTTCTTATATAATCGTTTTCACTCAAAATGTGCCTCTTGAATTTAATAAGTTTTCATAAGAACCCCTCGATTTTCATCTATTTCCATAAGCGCCCCCTCAATTTCCACTCTGTTTTCATAAGCGCCCCGTTCGAATAAGCGCCCCTCAAAAAGTGCAAAAAATATTTTAAGCGCCCAGGCGCTTATTCGCGCGAGTACGGTATTGAACAATATTATGAGGCAGATTACTTTGAATGTAGCAAATAAACAATGGCATTTATGATAATAACAGTGATGATGCAAAGCAGGGTTGCCATTTGGACTTTTTGACGGCCAGATTCCTCAAATCTGGCCGTATAAAAATTTGCCTGGCCGTAACGTTTGAAAAGTCACGGCTAAACTATATTTGGCCGAATTTGGCCGAATTTTTGAATTTACATTTTTTTTTTCAATACAGGCCTAAATAGACTTGTTTTGGATGTGTTGTTTTTGTTAGCTTAAATTCTATATTTGATTCTAATCACAGTGGTGGATGGAAGGAGGGGGGTTCGTCCCCCCACCCTCTCTGAGAAGAAACGTAACAAAATACTATGGGTCCTGGCTTACAAAAATTCATGCTAACTAGACGCGGATCCAGGCCTTCGCCCAATTTGCCCAGGCGAAGGTCAGGGTGAGAATTCAAAATAAAATGTTGACCATTTATTCCAACAATCATACTTACTTTCCTTGACACTTATTTTGAACATTACCATTAGAAAAATGTTTAATATACACATCTAGATGTGTATAAGAGAACTATCTTATACCTTACACTTTTGAACTGATTGTACTGTAGGCCCTACCAGAGAGAGAGAGGTACATTCCCAATACATTATGGTCTTCCACTTCTATAGCGCATGATACAGTGCAGAGCAAACGTTATGTAACCACTAATAATACTCAGGTCCAGTGGCGTAGGTATGGGCAGTGCAGTGAGTGCACAGCACTGGGGCCCGGGGCTATTGGGGGCTCGTTTAATATGTATAATTAGGGAGTTGTTATAATGTCTGGTATAATGATCTAAAAATATAACTTTAAAAAATCCTATTCAAACTTTAAAAGGACCCTTCAATAATATTAGGTTTTAGAGGCTATAGTTATTGATTATATTCATTACAATTTACCTATTACCTATTTCCCAAACGCTGCAAGTAGACTTCATGAATACATTTTAGATTCAATTCACTGCAAGTAGGTAGATGACTGTTCTATTATTGAATGGTAATTGTTATCATCGTGATGGAATAGACAATACCTGGATTTGCGTCAGGAGAATCAATTAGGCAATTAGGGGCCTATATGTATTTTGCCCAACCTGTCTTGAAAATGTATTGAATACTCAGTGCGTGATTCACTAATACACTTTTTGAAATCACATTTCTAAAGCAATAAAATATCGTCACGCACATTTGTATTTGTGGTATTTTAAAGTTGGTTCAACTAGTATTGTGTACGTTTTTAAACACTTCAGATCATCATAACTTCATGAATACATTTTAGAATCACTTCACTGCAAGTAGGTCGATGACTGTTCTATTATTGAATGGTAATTGTTATTATCGTGATGGAATAAACAATACCTGGATTTGTGCCAGGAGAATCAATTAGGGGGGCCTATATGTGTAATTTTGCCCAACCTGTCGTGAAAATGTACTGAATACTCAGTGCGTGTGAAAACACTTGCAAAAAATATTTGCAAGTTGTTCTCCAGTGGGACTCGAACCCACGTTCTCCAGATCACTAGCCTGGCATCATGCCTTTAGACCACCGAGCTTGCACCTGGCGGTCAGGGTTGAATTCGAGCCAAAGTTATAAGCAGCGAGTACTATTTTTGCAAGTGTTTTCACATGTACTGAGTATTCAGTAAATTTTCACGACGGGTTGGACACAATTCCACCTATGTGTTCTATTGATGTTGTCAATATTATAATATATCATAGATTCATGAAATGCTTAATAGGCCCTAAACGATAACATGACTTGACCATAGTTTGTTCTCAATATTCTTTAATTTTTTAAACAAAATATTTTTTAGATATTTCTGAGCGTTAATGCTGTCCCGTATCTGTTTTAAAAAACCTCTGAATGTATAAGCATTCAGAGTTTCGTCTGAGTATACCCCACTATAGGCTCTGTCTCTATGTCCGACCAGGTGCATTTTTACCTTACCTAGGGCCCGGCAGTTATCTATGCCATAGTTACCAACCGTCACGCATCACTTTAAAGTGATATTGGATGAAACGCATTTTGCAGAAACACATGCGAGGTCATAAATGTGTCACACATTTAGCACTTGCGTGATAACGAATTATCACAAAATCAGGGGAAAACGTATTTAAAATTAGAAGAAATTGGTTTTATTAAAAATATAAAAACGGTATACAGTAGCTTGAGTCATTAGAGAGCTTTCTTTATCTTGTTCGAGAATCAATTCACAGAGAAAATTTCTCCTTTCCAACCAAAACAACCCAGTCAACCACGCACTTGTAGAATCTAGTAGTCGCGAGCAGTCTTGCGAGTTTATTGTTATAACACAACCGTTTAAAATGTGACGGGAACCCGAACTTCCCAGGGGTTCCGTAATAATACCGTATACATTCGCGTAGGTCCTATAAGGTGACCCGTGTATAAGACCCCCACGTTTTAGAAGATTTTTGGTTGATATTTGTATGTCTGGCGTATAAGACGACTCCCTGTTTCATGGTCGGAATTCCTAATTTTTTGTGGTCCTGTATACTGCGTCTAGCTGGATAAATGGAGCCAAATGCAAGGGTAATCTTCCAAATAATACCATTTTATGATTTTTTAAATCTTCACCACCAAAATCGTATTTTCCCATATTTAAAATTGCTTTCATTGATACAACATTTAGTTGCTTCATTGCAGTAGTAAGTTCGCATGTTAAGCTGGTTTTCCACTAGGCGAATTTATAACAGTTAAATTTAATAATTTAAATTGTTCGGATGAAATATATATATATTTTTTTATGAAGGTTATCCTCGTTTAAGACAGTTCAATGCAAGTTTGTACCATACTGTGTGTCTTTGTATATGTTCCATTCTAGTGGAGGTTCTATCTCTTTTGAATTTCTTTTGAATATAAATTAAATACTGTACTTCTGTCTCTTATACACATCTTTGTATAGCCCTAGGTGCTGCAGTGTTCTTTATGTAGAGCGCCATATATAATTGCTCGATGTGCTCATCCGGGTTCGATGGCTCCTCCAATTTCAAGCAAGCATTGCAGAGTCTCTGTCGAGTTAGGTGCATATGAGAATGAAGAAGATAATTCTGATAGCAACATTGATTTATTGCTTTAAGTACTGCGACAATAACATTCAGAGGCGAGTCGTGAAAAAAAAGAAAAAAAGAAAAATTGATCGCCCAAACGCATAAGGTTATTTTTGGGCGTCAGCAACTAAAGAACATAGGGCCTAGGCTATTTAATATTATGATGTAGCTGGGCATGTATTTTATGGTGATAGATTAATTAAAAGAAGTTTAACATTGTTCTGTGTATATTATTTGAATTTC